TAGCTATGCTAACGCCGCTAGCGCCTTGTTTACTTCCGGTGGTGTCACACTGAGAAGCTCCGACTTCCGCCTTCAAAATAAAAATTATTGTTGGCACTAAATCTGACATGGAAATCTCTGCGTTCATGTTTTACTTTATTTCACCTCTTAGCAGGTCGTCCTCACTGCAACTTGTAAATAAAAACATGTTCCTGTTTGAGAGGGAGAAATAAAAGACACTGCTGACTGTTTGCAACAACTGGGTACTTTATTTTTATTTCTTCACTAAATATAAAAACATTTAATTGTTGTAAAACCTTACTCATGAATATATGTAAATGCATCATAGTAGTTTGTTCTTTACATTAGAAATGCATCTAAATTTGATTAGTTACTGTGATTTATATTTCTTACTGAAACAGTTACTGTAAGTTCAAATGCTGATGAATCATAATTTACAGTTTTTAATTTAATTTGTTGAAGTGATTTCTTTAACTGAGTGGAAGTTTCACAGTACTCACACTACTGAGATCATTTTTTCTTCTGTATATTTTTCGGCATCTAACTCGTTACACAATTTTTGTGCCATTTCAACAATTCATATATCGTGAGGGCTGCTATGACTTCTTTTCAACATTTTAAGGTTGTTTTCAACATCCTTAAAATGTTGAAATGTTTCTAAATCTTTATCGCACCTCACAGTTTGTTCTGGTTCTGCTCTTTTTTATGTTCTTGTTCTAATTTTAGCTTTTTTCTGCCATTTCAGTTAAAATTCTGCTGRTTTGGGCTATTTATGCTTCTTATGGATGCTTTCTGTTATATTCAGCTGTTTGCTGGAATTTCAGCTAATGTTTAGATGCTATTAGCTAAATTTAGCTTTTCAAAGCTAAATACACATTTTTGTAGCTATTATAACATTTTTCAGCTAAGCTCAGCAAACTTGTGCTTCCTTATGCTCATGAAAAGAAATCCAGATACTTTTTAAGCTCTTTAATTGTACATTTCAGCTGTTTTAGCCTTTTTACTACAAATTGTCACTTTTTTTGTACATATATGCATTTTTTTGCCAGTTTTACCTTTTTTTTTTAATTTTTTTTACAATACTTCCTCTGGGTGCTAATTTCAACTTGGCTGCTACCTTTACCCTATTTCATGCTAATTTTAGCTATTTTATGCTACTTTAGCTATAGATCTGCTTCTTTCTGCTATTTTTCTGATTTTTTTCTACTTTTCATGTTTTTTTTCTGCTACCTAGTGTCAATTATGCTTATTACAGATGTTTTCAGCTATAGTCAGCTACTTTAGCTTTTAGCAGTTTTCTGTTTTCAACTAGATTTGTGCTCCTTTTTACTGTTTTTCTGCAAAGTTAAGCTTTTTATTGCTTCTTTCAGCTTTTCAAAGTAAAGTGTTATTACAAAGCATTAACACTTTTCCTTTTAAATAATTTCAGCTAATTTCACAGGTTTTAGCTTACGTTTTCAGGAAGTGACATTCACACTAGCATTTTTGCAGGAAATGCAATTTCTCTAGTTAAAGTTATTTTCTATTAATTCAGTTTATTTTCTTGAACATCTCCATCAAACATCAGTTAATCGTCTCAAAAAAAAAAAAAAAAGAAAAAACAGGAGGATTCCTGAGAAATGAAGAACTTTCACAATGGTCACACTAAAAACCTTATTATCACAGTCTAAAACAACTCAAACTTACAAGTTAAACAAAGGTGAACCAAGAATATTTCATAATATGGATTTTGATACATCATTTTAGCAGCAGGCATTTATTTTGTTACATTTTCTAAACCCCAGAAAGAAAAACACAGATATTTATACAACACAATCTATTTGATCAAAAAACACTTGTTTTAAAACACTGAACATAAAATCACATTTAGATTATTCTCTAACTAKACTTTCTACCTAATGTCTGTTTGCAAACAATCCTCTGGTGCACCTACATCATTAAACAACTACATTACCCACAATGCCACAGTCTTAAGATTTTAACTTCTCAGCTTTGAGTTTTACCAGTGGTGGGCAGCGCTAGTCCAAAAATTAGCTCCGCAATTTCTAAAGCGCTTATGAAAATATTTAGGTCCGCAACTTCAAAAATGCTCATGTCATAGAAAAATTAGCGGAAGACAATTTTATAGCACACGTTCAATTTGACACTTACTAGTTGACAATTCATGTACATTATGCACAATACTACCAGCTAGCAGTGTATGAACCCTTGTACAGCTTAATCCTACAACCGCTGATTGCTGGGGATCTGATTTCCTGAAACAGACCTTTAGCTCATGGTATAAAAATTAAAAAGTTGTTGATGATTGCTAGTTCGGCTTCTCCTTTGTCTTTTTCTTTTGTTTGTTGTAGATTTTTCATCAAAGAAGCATCAATAAGTAATTTTAAAACTGTTTATTGGAAAACTGAAGCGATGCATTCTGGGTACATGACGAACTGATGGGAAATGAAAGCACGGGGAACAGGAAACTAGTATCTTCCCTTCAAAATAAGAGCTTGGATTTTAAAGTTTTCCATGTTTCTATTTAACTTTAAAGTTTTCCAGTTCACCTGAAACTCATCAGAGTGAAGAAGTCTCTTGGAGGAGAGACGAAAAGTTTCACTAAAGAAGAACCATCCAGAGGACCTACTTTTTTTTTTCTACCTGGATTAGGARGTTTTCTATGTAGTTGCTCCAGTTGACCACTAGTACTGCATTTTAATTTTAGAAATCGCAAATCCGCTTYTGAATTTTAAAATTTAGTAAGTCRGCAAAAGCACAAACGAAATATTTATGTCCGCAATTAGCGGATTTGCGCTTTAGCGGGCTTGTGCCCACCACTGGTTTTAACTAACCGAAAGTCTGAAAAACTTACAAYAGTTATTGATTAAAACTCTCTCCTCAGGTCTGACATGTGAGAGGTCTTTCACCTGAGTTCTCATGTGGTGTTTTTTTACTGTAACGTTTTCCACTCGTTGACATGTAAAAGGCTTTCAGTCAGTGAGTCGTCATGTGGTTTTTAAAACTTTTTCTGTCGCTGTAGGTTTTTCCACAGGTCTGACAGGAGAAAGGCTTCTCACCCGTGTGAGTCCTCGTGTGTCTGATTAAATCAAACTTCTGATTAAAACTTTTTCCACAGGTCTGACAGGAGAAAGGCTTCTCACCTGTGTGAGTTTTCATGTGTCTGATTAAATCAAACTTCTGGCTGAAACCTTTCCCACAGGTCTGACAAGAGAACGGCCTCTCGCCCGTGTGACTTCTCATGTGATATTTCAAACTTTTCTTTTCGCTGTAACTTTTCCCGCAGGTCTCGCATGAGAAGGGCTTCTCGCCTGTGTGAGATGTCATGTGGCTCTTAAAGCTTTGCCCATCGCTGTAACTTTTTCCACAGCTCTGACACGAGAAGGGCTTTTCCCCGGAGTGAGTTCTCATGTGTCTGATTAAATAATTCTTTTTGTTAAAACTTTTCCCACAGGTCTGACACGAGAAGGGCTTCTCACCTGTGTGAGTCCTCGTGTGAGTAATCAAAACACTTTTGTAATTAAAACTTTTCCCACAGGTCTGACATGAGAAGGGCTTCTCTCCTGTATGAGTTCTCATGTGAACAAATAAATTATGTTTCACACTAAACGTTTTCCCACAGGTCAAACACAGAAAAGGTTTCTTTTGCTCTCCAAGTTGGTTTTGGTGGTCCACATCATCACTGAGACCTCTGGCTTGTGGACTTGTCTCATTTAGTCTCAGATCTTCATCTCTGCAGGATCCTGGATCTCCGGTCCTGCTTCCTTCCTGAACTTGGTTCTCAGCTTCAGCAGAGTTCTGAGAGAGGAGCTGCTTCCTGTTTGGTTCTAGTTCCCAGAGGTGTCTTTCGTTACAAGCAGGAGTTACCAGAAACGCATCAGTCTCCTGCTCCTCCTTCATCTCCACACTTTCTGGTTCTTTCTGTGGTGGTTCTGATTCGTCCTGGTCCAAACTGGAGTTACTCTTCTGGTTACAGAGCTGCTGGTCAGTGGGAGTCCCATCCTCCTTCCAGACATGTMGCTGTGGGACTTCTGGACAAACACACAAAGGAAAATGCTCATTAATGTGACTAAAACACACTTCATTTCATTTGATGCAACTCTATTTGGTTTGGAGTCGAGCTGGAGGTGACCACAGAGTTGTGTATTTTTTCCAAATACAGGACTTATAATTATTTAGTTTTAGTCTTGTGAAAGGTTAAAGAGTGAAATCCTAGTTCCAATGCAAAAATCACACAAAAATCATGTTTCAAATGATTAGAGTGGGCTTCGATGTAAGTTTTAAAAGATTAATTTTATGCCCCAAAACAGCTGACAATTCATAAACCTTTGAGTCGAGGCAGTCTGGACCCTGCGTTGACTGATCTACACAAAGAAAACTTCCTAATTTATATAATTTGTTCGTTTTCTTCTTCTGGGTGGTTCATCCATCTCTGACGAGAAGGGTACACGRCTTTTTCTCATAATTGGCACATCCGTGATCCGATTTCAATGATATAATCCCTCCTTCTGCGCTTGTGTGCCCCTGGTGGTTCCCCATTTTCTCACTCTTGTGACCCAATTGTTTCACCTTTTCCTGACCCTTGATTTTTACACACTCATAATATAGTCTATATAGCTTTTAAAACTTAAAACGTGACTTTATATTTCAAAACATGCATAATATGGTGTCATATTACATTTTATTGTTCACAGTCATTCATCTATTACTTTATATGGAAAACAAACATTTGTCTGAAAACAACTCAAATCAGCTCATTTCATGAGCATTATTATGATTTAGTACATGATCATCCGTGACTTTAATTTATTCATCAAAATTTGAGCTCTCTTTAACAACTAAGGCTGTTTCTAACCTGAGTCCTCAGTTGTGGACCTGCATAGACTGCATGGCCTTGGGACCATGTCCAAGATGAGGCAGGGACGTTCTTATGAACACTGTTTCAACCCAGCTGTTCACCGCTAATTGGATCTTWATTAATTTTATTTAACAGGACAGTGCATGTTAGTAACAGTACATCTGTAACATGCCAGAATTAGCCAAAGGCTAGTTCTAATCTGTAGTCCTGGTGGCTAGTTGTACAGTGGCACCCTAGGAAGACATAAAATATTAAACATAATGTCAGTTCTAAATCAAACCTTGGCTTAGCTCTTATCAGTAGGGGTGTAGGAAAATATTGATACACCGATATATATCGATATTTCATTTATCAATACTGTATCTATTTTCTAAAGCCCTGTATCGATTTTTAATTAAGGTTTAAAATGTCAACTTTCCTGCCAACCGTTAATTTGTGTTGTAGTTCAGCCTCTGACCACTAGTTGSCAGCAGTGAGCCAGACATTTGGCTCCTCTACTCCTAAGAAGCCAGAGAGTAACGGTAGCATTAGCATGGTGAGCTTCATGCTCCGATAGCTGAATCTGAGCAGAAAAGATCGACACCCTGAGGTAAGGTTACAAACAGTTACTTATTTGTCAGAATGTCTGTATTATAAGCCAAATTGAAGTGTCTCGTTTGGGGTGCTCTTATTCTGATTGTAGTCAGTCACGGCAGGCAGGCAGGCATGCGTCTAGCACCTTGAGTTTAGGGGGTGTTGTGTGTCATTCAGTTCCCCTGTGAAAATCTGTTCCCCGTGTGTCTGGAGGGCACACTGCAGCCAGAGAGGCAGATCAGACCATTTTCACAGCGTTTCTGATGTATTTCTTGTTAAAAGGACTCACATAATATTGTCAAGGTAACTTTTTCACAAAAAGGTCACAAAATGCCACCAAAATCACTCTGTCCCTCTAAAATCATTTAGAAAATCGAATCGTATCTAGGCCTGTCACGATAACAAATTTTGCTGGGCGATTAATTGTCTCAAAATTTATTGCGATAAACGATAATATTGACTGGTGACCGTTTTA